AATAATCTTATTAAATATAAATTTAAATTATAACTATTGTTCATTGTTTTGACACAGGTGAGGGGCATTTGAATAACTACATGAATGTAACGCGCCTCATTGCTTCAAATAACACAGAAATTGTACATTTTCGTGAAAAGTAAGTCATTTGTAATAATTGCACTTTATGTCATTTTTAATTATGTAATTTTGTAATTTTTTTATTTATTTAATAATTGAATGTACATATTTTTGAATAGCAAATGGTATAAAAGGGGCATGTATGTCACCACCAACAAAATCGCGTTAAAGAGCGAAATAGAAGAGCTTCATGGTGGTGATATCAATAGTGAGAAAGGGGAGGTTTGGATTTTGGCATTGCAAGCCAAAAATAATAATGAGGATCAGAAGTGGAGCATGAAGCATGAAGCACCATATGATATATATTTTATTATTAATGTTTCGTTATTTCGAGAACTAATTATTTGTTTTGAGTTCACTATTTATATTAAATTTCCGTTGGCAGAAGGTTATGTTTTTAATTTTTAAGAATTAATGTTTCGTTACTTTGTGTTGTTCGATTAACAACTATTACAAGTATTTATTTGTGTTTTTCAATAAAAACAAATGTTTAATGTAGACTCGGTTATACAATATTACCGAATTCAGAAAAAAAAATAATTACAACCAAATTATAATTTCCTTGGATATCATAGAATAAACGATTTTTCTAATTATAAACTTTATATAAAAATATTATACATAAATTTTAATGAAAGGACTCCTACGTTATATTGAATTGAAGGAAACAATTCCTACATATGTGAATGCTTAACAACATGGTCCACTCGCTTCAACATATCCGATTTCAATTCCTAAAATTTGCTTTTTTTTTTTAAATAATTCAAATTTAATGTTGGAAGAAACAATTCAAAAAATTGTGTATTTTTGAAAAATTGGTACATTCTAATAATATTTTGTTTTTTTTTTTTTTGGATACTTTTCAAAACCCATATTACATTTCAACCGATTTATGTTTTTAATGGGATGGGATTTGGGAGATTGGTATGGTGTAATTCTGTTTTTTATAATAAGCCTAAATTATTTAACTTATTGAGATATTTTAGGATGGGATTTAGTAGATTGTTAGTTCCAAAATTATGGGATACTATTCAATATTCCTATTGCATTTCAACCTATTTATATTTAAATGGGAATTGGGAGATTTGTTTGGTGTAATTCGGTTTTTATAATAAGCCTAAATTATTTAACTTCTTGAGATTTTTTATGATGAGATTTAGTAGATTGTTTTCCTAAAATTATGGGATACTTTTCAATATTCCTATTACATTTTGACCGATTTATAATTGAATGGGATTTGGGATATTTGTTTGGTTTAATCCGGTTTTTTTGTAATAAACCTAAATTATTTAACTTCTTGAGATTTTTTAGGATGATATTTAGTAGATATTTTTACAAAATCATGGGATTTAAATAAATATGGTACATTATCTTTTTACAGAATATTTGAATTATTTATTACGTACATAATAGATTTTAAGAGATTAGTTATAGATATACTAAAGTTAGTTACAAATAACTATTCTTTAGACTCACACGTTTTCTATATAATATATATTATGTTATTTATAGATAACTATTCTTATCTCTATACTTTATTCACACGTTATCTATATTCACACGTTTAATAGATTTTTACAACTTCTGATTTTGATTTATACGTACTTTTTTTATTTATATACTTTATTTACTTTATTTACTTTCTTTATTTTTAATATAGAATATAGATAAGTTCATATCTTTCATCAAGATTATGATTATGATTTATACATACTTAATCACTATATAAACCCCCCTTCAGTCTCAATATTTTGATATCACGATTTGCACGAGAGAAACCTTACAAGCTATTATTTCTATTTTCCCTTTCCCTAACTATCCAAAATGCCTCCTGCTTTTGGTGTTATTAAAGATCTCAAAAGAACTCATAGACCATTCATTAAGCTACGCCTCATTAGGTCGTTTCAACGTGATGAGAATCGTGGTTATAAAAATCCGCCGGAGTTCATCTTCCATGATTCCGATGTAATATGTGAATATTTATTTATTAACATTCTTATTTTTTTTAACGTTTTGTCAACTTACTAATTCGTACTAATTATTTATTTTATGTTATTTGTTAGGGAGGTCGTATCAACGGTTTGGTGCGACCCATGCATGTGGCTAATTTCATAAACAAAGTGTAAGAAGGTGTCGTTTATGTCCTAAAGAATTACCAAGTGGAATCTAACACTGGCATTTATAAAACGACAATATGCACTTGGAGGCTTGTGATCAACAAGGACACCAAGTTTATCAAGTGGCCTCATCCTTTCCCTACGTTTCGTTTTATCTTTAGAGATTGCGCAATTATAATGGACATTGACAAATGATGAATCAATGTTGTTTGGTAAGAAATTATTAATTGATTATTTTTTTAAACGAATTTTAAAATATTTTTTCGCGTATTTCTTTTTTTTTGAATTATTAATTATTTATTTTGTATTGTTTACTTAACGTATTTCCTTTAAATCATATTTTGTAAATGTTATTGGCGTGGTTGTCGAAATACAACCAGTTCAAATGAAAACTGTAAGGGGAGTTCCTACTCAAATGATTGTTTTCTCCCTTATGAACTTGGAGTAAGTACATCTAACTTTCTAAAAAAATTGAAAAAGAATTGTATCAATTAATTTTTTCGTATGTTTCTATGATTGTTGTTTGAATTTATAAATTGTGAATTCGCTTTATTACATTTACTAACTACACAATTATTGTTTCGATTTTTTCGATTTTTTAGAGGACAAAAGAAGAATTGTATCCTTTGGGGACAATATGTGATCAATTGATTGCTATTGTGCATCACTATATGAATGAACAACAAGCTTTTGTTTTAATCATGCAAATGTGCCGCGCTAAGGTGTTCGATGGTAATATTTTAACTATTTCGTCATATTATAATTTTGTTATGATATTTATAATTAGTACGAATTAATGTTTGTTTAGGGGAAGTGCGAATCACCACATCAAAGGATGTTACTCTCATAATTTGTGTTGATGTTCTCGAAATTCGTGAATTTTGCAGGAGGTATATGAATTCAAATGTTTTTTATTCATATGTATTAAATTAATACTATATTATTTGATTGTATATAAATACATACAGTTGGCGGGAAAGGGACTCCATTTGTGGCTTGATTTGTCGATAGTTCAGGCTCAGGCATCGAGGAAAGTTATTTATATATTATCCTACAATTAGGTTGGCTGCGGGTAAATTGAGGAATACCCAATTGGTGTCCAATAGTTCGATTATTTTCAAACCCAGTGTTAGATTCCACTTGGTAAACGAAGGGGAATCTAACCAATTTTCAGTCATGACCAGTTATATGTTGCTGTTTCGCGCGTCACCAACAGAAAGGGTTTGAAAATTCTAATATGTGGTGAAAATGATTTTCCTCCAAATCAAACAAATAATGTTGTGTACAGAGAAGTACTTAATAATATATAATTTATTTTTTATTCTTATTATGTTTCCATAAAGATTATATGTTAAATTTAATTAATTACATTTAAATTAAGTATTTCAATGTGTTTTAAGTTATGCACCCACCGTGCATCGCACGGGTACTGCACTAGTTAGTACAAGTGATATTAAAATACTAAGTTAGCTAAATAATATTTATGGAATGTTCGAACCTAGATTATTAATTATTAATATATCAATATTATTTGTCCAAACCTAATTATTACAAAGCATGATTCTTTATTACAAAGCATGATTCTTTGCCAAGTAGGATTACGAAGCACCAGAAACAGCCACGTAGTCTCAGCGCATTCGGAAATTATATATAGGAGAGAAGATGAATGCAAATGAGCCGTTAAATTTTATAGCAGAAGGTTCTGTAAATAAATGTTAGCAATAAGGAGTTGCTATTGAGCCTCCCACATTTCTCAATCAAATATGCATCTTTTAGCATAACATTTTGCCATGGTAACAAAAGGAACTTAGTTTGAGGAACAAAAACTAATAGTTAAAAAGTGAGACTATAAAGAAGTTAAATTAGTTTATTATTTAGTTCAATAATAGATAAGAGCAACAATTAATAATATTTCTAAGGTGCACTGCAGGCAAAATATCATATAAAACTCATTGTCATGTAAGCCTCAGATCTTGAGACATTTACCACCAATTACTCATCCTTCGAAACATCATGGTACAAAATTTAATGTGGAAAACAAGAACGAAGAAGTTATGAACTTATGGACAAGCCATCGTATTTTCTTGATATTCGTACAACACAAGAATTCGTGAAGCAGACTAACCATTAGGCGGCCGGTCAACTTATCATACTATTTCTGGAGCAGACTAACCACTTATGGATATACCATATGCAGATATGCTTATATGTTTATGTTGTTGTCTGATAAAAATATGTATATTTATAAAGATAGTATATCGGCCTAATGGTTAGGGTGACCTAACATAAGAGCAACCGTTCATATTAAAACAATGTACGAAAACTCTTGTCTATTTCTTGGCACATCATAATAACTAGGAAAAAGAACAGCAACTTCTATATGAATATACCAAACATCGGCCTAAATTACACGGTACAGCCATAAAGATCAAAAACCCACGAGTAAGGCTGCTAAAATATATTACCCTCAAAGTATATTGAACAACAAAATGAACCCAAATGCTACACAACCACAGTTGAGCATTTTTTTCAAGCTACTAAAAGCACAGACTGGCTTTTTCTCTACACTCTTCATGGGGTCGCCAAAAAAGCCGATGTAAACAAAACATTCGTGACAAATAAAAAAGAAAGAGTATCGGCCAAAAGCTGGTCACTTGCAGCAATGCAGGAACTAGTAAATAAGACGACTAATTTTACTGAGGATTAAATGGTAGTAGTCAACAGCAAGAGAACAACAACAAATTCTTGGAAGATTTTACAGAATCACCTCTTCAAGAGCTTTTGCGAGAAGATCCTCTTCGAGTAGGGACTGTTGCGTGAGATTGCCTTGTAGGATTCGATTGCCTCGACCAATGAATAATGGAGACGACCCTGATTTAAAAAAAAAAAAGAAATCATATGCAGAAAAACTTTGGTCTAAGATGAAAGTAAGTGCCGAAAGTTGATGCCAAATATGGCTGGAAAATACCGGTCAGCAAATTGTGAAACCAATTGTAGGGTCATTTTTTGTAGTTCAAAATGAATAAGAACAGCATATTATCTTCTGAGTAAACCATCATTTTTACTATGTTTTCCTTTCCTTGATTCTATTGTTTCTTTTTCTTCTTCTCTCTTATGGACGCAGTGTTGACTACGGTGTTGTTGAAGCAAATAACCATCATTGCAGGTGTCTGGCTAATATTTTTTTTTTTAAATATGTTATAAGCTCTAGCTAATTGCTATATGACAACATCTTATAAGATGTTTGAATATACATTGTAACTAAGATGTTTTAAAGGGAGTACCACTAGAAGACCAAAAAGTTAACTAACATACCTCGGTAACACGAAGAGCTGTCTGAATAACATAATTTGCATGTGGGTCCTGGAGCAGCTGCTCAAAGTAAGATGCCGATAGCAATTCATGAATGATTTTTGACCGGATTCCTTCATTACACACCACAAGACACTTCTCAACAACATGGCTGCTAAATTTTTGTCTCGCAAGATGCACATAGTGACCCTCAAACTGAGATATCAGTTTGGACGTGGCCGATGGGATCTTAAGCTCCAAAATGAACTGGATGACGTAATTTCTGCATGCCAATAGTGCAATTTCATATATCAGCACATCACATTATATGTATGTTGAAAATATAATAAAATTGATTTTTTCTTTTCTTTGTTTTTTTTTTTTTACATAGTAGTGGCAAATCAACTTACTGAAATCTTTACTGACTTATACCTGAAATCTACTTACTGACTTATAAAAATGCACCCTCAAGAGTGATCAAGTGTGTATATCTATCTGTAGGTGAACTATAAACCTGAAGTATGCCTTTGATTTTAATTAGACTAAAGGCAGCTTCGCAGTTAAACCTTAAAGTTTCAAGTCTGAGGAAGATCAATCTCTTAGCAAAATTGGGTTTTACCCGTAAGCATCCTGAGCAAGCAGAAGCCCGTTTGCTGAAATCTCTTCAACCAAATTTTCTCGAAGCTCGCCAGTAGCTTGACTGATGCAGCGCTGCAGAACACAACACCCGTGCTGGTGTGTTGCTATGTCGACACAGTACTTTGCAGCAGCTACGAAAATGAACTGCAAATGCAATACATAAATAGTAAATCGACTTATGAACAGGTTAGTCTAGGTACTTCCATTTCCCAGTGAATACAAAGAAATGTGTGATTGTTGTTTTCCTATTTCTCGGGCAGATGAGGACAACCCTTTTCTATCAACACTAATGATTTTCATGACAAATTGCTCAAAAGTAAGAATATTATATTATTTATGTAAAAATAGGCTTAAGCCTCTGGACAAAAAATGGCTGAGTTTTCGAGCAGGAGACAATAAATTTTATCTCAAGCACACAAGGATCATCAGATTCATGCTAACAAGAGCAATTGGTTTCTATAACAGAAACAACAACACAGAACACATGATATTCCCCGTTCAAGATTCCTATTTGTGTTGAGATTTTAAAATTGAGTCAGTATCGTCAATGCTGCCGTGTTGCAATCTGAAAGGTATATTTAGAAGTTGGACTAAAGTTCGAGGAGAGATGGTCAGTAGTAGAAAATGAGAATTCAAATATATTAACTTTCTGTCTTTTATGATTTTATATCACAAAATAAGGATGAGAAGTATGTCCCCATAAACCCAAAATGGTTTTACATGCCGGAATCCCAAAAAGTTACATCTCCACTTTTCTTAACACACCATATAACGTAGTATTCGTTGTGAACACTAGATGACAGTCAACCTTTCGTATAGAAAGGGAAAAACAACTAAATTCCTATCAGGAAAACAATCTTGTCGAGCAGATGACATCTAGTCACAAAAAAGAATCCAACCATGGCAGTTCATGCAAATGAAGTTAAAGATAATCTCTCTCTGACCCCTACGAAACAAATGAAAAACTTAAAGGTGAAGTTTTCAAAGGATGATTCAAGAAGAAAAACGCCTCACTAAGAAATTCAGTAACTCAGAATTTCAAAGCCAGTAGTCATCAAGCTCCTACCATGTTGTCATAGCTTCTGCTACTAGTAAGACAATGAACAAACGATTACCCCTAAAACCAGTAGAATGAGTTTTGCAGTGGCTTCTAACTTTAAGCTATTAGTCTGCAACCAAAACATACTAATGCGTACTTGCTCAGGAGATCGAGTAATTTGATCACTAACAATATCATCCATTTTAAGGATTCCTGTAAATTTTAAACGATTTCCTCGCATATTGATTTGCAAATACGCATAAATTTATAATATATAATGCAGGGGAGATTTGAGGTAGCAATTGGATATAAATTTGGTGTTACAGATGATCTTCAAAATTAATGTAGTTCTAAACGTCATTTATAAATACAACTTTCCAGCACGCAATGAGGATAACATCCTAGCTTATTATCAATGCATCCATTAATCACTTGTGAGCTAAAGTAGAACTAAACAACCCTTTCAGGAAAAGGGAGAGATAGCATGAATTGACTACAGTTATCAACATCCACCACTGCCATTACACACTTCAGAAGATAACACAAAGTGACAACTAAAACCAAATTCTAGAAGCAAGTTCATCATACCCCTAGCTGCTTTTCCTACAATGTGGCTCAGCTGCACACGAGTCCGTATCGTCATATATTAACGTTAGTATAGAGATGCTCACAAAAAATATAACTATGCAACACAAGTATATTGTACGGAACAGATTGACAGCAATTGTGATGCCTCTCTATGTTGTTCATCACTACTAAAGTTACAGATTAAATTGCAACAGTACTTTTTACAACCAACAATTTTGTGCCGCAATAAAGATTTGTATGGCGAACAATTACCTTACTATCTTCAGCGGAAAAGCACTGCAAGCACCTCTGCACGACATGATTACCATTCAAATCCTTAATAAGGGCAAGAAAACCCGGTTCAAGGGCTGAAACAACTATTGATATCTGCTGCCTCGTTTTAAGGGTCTCAATCAACTTCTGCACCACTCGTGTCCTGATACAAAATCAGAACTTCAAAACGACCATCTCTAGCATAATGCAAAAAAAGGAGGGAAAAAGAAAAGCAAAAAGCCGAACAAAACATACCCATGCGTGTTCAGAGAGATCCTAACGAGCTCCCCCGGTTCCTCAGTCACTCTCAACAGTATATGCATCCTCTGGTCTTCAGTACAAACCTCCAGCAATTTCTGCATCAGATAATTCCCAAACGGGTTCATCATGAGCTCGACCACATGATCTATTATCTCCTCAAACACAATCTGCACGTCTCGCAAAGTCCCCTCGTCAAACATCCTCTGCAAGAACCTGCAGCCATGTTGGTCCTTGGCGATATAGTATATATAACCTCGAATTTCAGCAAGCGAGCAGCAACTCGAGGGTGAGGAGCTAGAGAACAGTGTCTTCTGTTCAGATTGAAGGCTTCTCGTGCTATTGTGCCCCCTCCTCGAACGAACGTGACCTCCGTTCGTGCAGTAATCGATACCACTTTCTCCTTGGATTATCAGGCTATCATCCCTTGTGAAGGGCTCAATACTCCTCCGAGGTGCTCGGTTTCTCACGTTGGGCACTGAAGGGTGGTGGCGAAGTAAATTGTTCTCATCATCACAATGCCGGCTCAGACGAGCCAATTGCACCACACTAGGCATATAAAAAGCATCAGTGGCTGTAGCTGGAAGCCTATTCAAAGGGGATGGTGATACCTCTGGCATAAATAGTCCCACTGGGAAATTTCCATTTCCGTTGGCTCTGTAAAATAGAGGACTCAACTGCGAGCTACCAAATTCGGGCCGATTGTAAGGTCTTTCGAGTCGGCTAGGGGAATAGGAGGATCCCAATAAATTAGCACATCTAGGATGGTTCTGCATTTCCACCATAGGCGAGCGGAGATCCATAGGAGTTTCTCTGGGAACAGGGAGATGATTAGAATCCGTAAAGGACTTCCTATAATTATTAAACGCACCATAATTCTCGAGATTTAACAGAGAGTCCCCATTCTGAGCTCGATTACGAGATTGAACGCCATTTATGAATTCCAGCCCGTAGTCCGGCTCATCGCTAATGTACATTTTGCTGAAATTTCCGGACAGATGAAAATCATCGAGGAAATTGACATCGTCGTTATCTTTCTTGAAATCGAGCCAGAACCCATTACCCGGAATCAGGTGGCTGTTGAGGATCTCGATTTGAGGCGGAGACGGCGTCTCGATGTTGGAGAGAGAGATTCCGCCGCCGCCGGAGAACAGGCTAGAGGAGGAGCCATCGGACTGCAGAGAGAACCCACTAACAGGGGAAGATACGCTTGCGTACTTATGCCGCAAGAGGTCATCGTCACACATGGGATGGGCATGTCCATTCACTCTGCGGGACACGCATGACGCGTGGCCGTAGCCATGATGATCGACGAGATTGGCGTGCCGGTGATGATGGGCATCGCCGAGTGTGTGATGCTGATTCAATGGAGATGCTGTTGCATGAGGGATCTCGCCCAGCAACCTCTCAAACTCATCATCATTCTTCATTTTATCTACACCCTTTTCTTCTCGAATAGAAACAACACAGACAAACAACACAAAAGTCGAAATGGAACAGCCCCAAAACACGAAAACAAATAAGATAACAAGAAAGATCACAACAATGGCAGACAGAGGAAACAATCACCACTGATAGCTAGCTCGAGGAATCAAAATACAGACATCAATAAAAAGATCGACAAAACGGGAACCATTTTCGAGGTTAGCGATTTTTAGCATCTGGGTAGGTCTCAGAAAACCATAAGTCCTACTGTAAAATACGGAGAAGAAGGAGGTGGGGTCGTCTGGTGATGGCGAAATTTTCAAAAGCATTTTCTCATTTTTTTTTGTTATGGTTCCCAAAAAAAAACCAAAAATGGATAAAAGAAAGATTTAATTTTTCCTTTTCTTTTTCCTATGTTTTTTCCTCAGTTCATCTGGGTTTTTGGGGTTTTCTTTTAAATTTTTCGGATACAGAGTTGGTTGAGCATGCAAAGATGAATGGATTGCATATGTTGTGTTTTTTTTTTTTACATATATATGAACTGTGTACAAATGGGTTTCTTTTTTTTTACATACACACAGTACACTACACACTCTGGTACAGTCTCACGCCATTAAAGCTGGAGAAAAGGAACAGCTACTCTCTCTCTCTCTCTCTCTCTAATTCTTGCTCTACTGTCTACATACACACAGGTATACATACATACATATACATATATAGAAACAGATTTTGTTTTTTAATTGAGAGAAATTTTCTAAAAAAAGAAAAAAAGAAAGAAAAAAGCGAAAAAGGAGTACTGAGCTGGCGGCAGGCAGCGGCACTCGCAGTCCCTGCTACACTGTACTCATCAAACGTTGTACAATACAATAGTGTACCGAATTAAGCGGAACCAAATTAATTCAAAGGAAACGCTACGATTCCGTTACAGAATCATTCCGTCGGGCTTGTAATCGTTAGATTATTAATAATTGATCTAACGGCTAGAAATCCCGACGAAATGGTTCCGTAACGAATAGTAGCATTTCCCCAAATATGACTTTTAAAATTCAGTCCACTATTGTTTGGGCAATAGTTTTATTTATTTTAATATATAGAAATAGTTTAAACTATGAGTTGGCCGTCTAATGGTTTTGTCGATTTATACAACAATATATGATTAAATTGCAAAATTCTTGAACTAACTTAAATTATAAATATATTTAAAAGTTTAGTGACTATTTTATTTTGTATCATTCTTTCTTATATTTAAAAATAGATTTTTTTTTTTAAATTAGCTCATGTGGTTAATAAATCTGGATTATACTAATATATTACATATTATAGTGAAATATAATGATGAGATGAAAGCATAATTAAACCCAGAATCATGCAACGGAAAAGGCGTATGGAGCACGTTACAAATTTGTCAGGTGCCGCACCCCATCATTTTACCCTACCTTTTTATTTTATTTTTAAACATATAATAATTTTAAATAATTTGATCATTTTTTTTTATTTTTTTTTTTTAACTTAGAGCTTTTGTATGTATAATAAATCATTGCATTAGCTAAAAAAATAACTTCTTTAAAAAAAAAAAAATCAAGAATAATAGTATATTTAAATTTAGCATATTCAACAGATCTTAACAAACACTCCTAGTTTTCTCCACTTCTAATGGTAGCAAATCTGATCTGGGGTTTAATTACCCATAAGATTATTTAATTTCTTTATTAAATAATACTAATAAAAAAAAAACTAAAATGTTTTCTGTTGACCATTTCATAAAATTGTAATTTGTTAGTATGGGAAAAATGGGTGGGATTCCATTTCTCCTTTTATGAAAAAAAAAAAAAATCATTATTTTGTTTTATTTTATATTCCTTTTTAGTATTTTTTTTTCGGTTCCTCGTTTTTCATAACTCCGATTCTGGTATGGCTACTGTTAGGCAAGCCTACTGATAAGACGTCATATATTTTCGACAGATTTACATACTTCAAATTGGGATGTCGTAGTGTAAAAAAACAACATAGACATATAAGTATGAATTTTGAATAGCATAAGTATGCATTTATTGTAAATAATTATGATTGAGTCGATCCACCTAACAATTAGGTTGCTTCACACAAAAATTTGTGTTCGGACCCTTGACCCTATTACTTCAGGTTGAAAAAATTCACTTATAAAATATTTATCTTTATCAAAAACAATAATAATGATCTTAGCGTTATAATACATTAGTATAAAATCTGTATATTAAACGAGTGTCGAATTAAAAAATATTTATATCAAAGTGTTTAAAAGATAAACTTAAAAATTTTATTTTATTTTTTAAAATTTTTAAACTACATTGTTAGTTTTGAAATGAGGCTGGAGTATTATACATGAACATAATATTTTTTAATCGCGTTAGTTTTTTCAAAGTTCAAAGAATTAATTTTATTACCATTATGATAATTTTACTTTGTATAATAGTAAATATGACAATGAGCGCCTAGAAGGGCCGATTAGGTAAAAATCGTGACGCATGAGTGTCGTCTAGCTTGTTATTTAAAATACTGATTCTGAGTGACAACTTTAAAATCATCAAATAATTACATGAAAGCTGATATAAATTATAAATGCACAGTAAATTAAGTCAAAATAAGAGGTTATATCTACTATTACATTTATGCAATTAATTATAGCACACTTTGCAATAAACAACATATCAATGCTAAAGATATCACATAAACTCCTGTGGCATGTAGGTTTATATGCAAACACAATATTTTAAATAATGTACTGTATCGGTTGATATTACCGATAATATCGCATATACCGATGGTAGGCCGGTACGGTAACCCGCTAGATACCATTTTGGCCAATGTACCGGTTTAACCGGTTTCATACCAAAATATACCGGCCAAAATACATGATATACATGATTTTAAAAAAAAAAACTATAAATATATATATATATATATATATATATATTAATTTATTGACAATGTTCTATAGTTAGTTTTGACATGTATACATTCTTATTAGATTTTAATCAATATTATTAATTATGAAGGTTGGTTTTATACATTATTAAATTAATATTTTTTAAAACCGTTAAAATAGACGGTAAAATTGATTGCATCGTATACCGCTGACCCGTTTGGCATGATTGTTGGTACAGTATTTTAAACACTGGACAAACGAAACTAATTACATATATATAACTAACTAAAAGAAAGTCAAAAACATATGTGCAACACACGATTATATAACATTTGATATTATTAAGCAACATCTATTAATTAAAAAAAATATCTCCAACATATGACTAATTGACACTTTGCTACTAATTAACACTACATTGTAATACAATACAACATAAGATGATTAATTATAAAATAAGAAGTTGATAAAAGAAGAGAAAATCAAATGATGATATTTAATAAAATCAAATTCTTTCATCGATCTATTAGTTCAGTTTATCGAATACAATGAAAATAGAACGATGCGATTTTAACAGACTAATTTTTTGTATCAAATTGCGAATCAAAGTTGTTGTACTCATAAATTTCCGATAATGTAGAATGATGTGTCCACGTTTTAAACCTCGATCCAGGTGAACGAACAAGGCCCAAGACCGTTGGAATCACTCCTCAGTCGACCCATGCGATCAATATTAGGGTTGTTGATCACTCGATTGGCATGACGATCACCCGCAGAAGCTTCTCAGGGAAGATTGTCGATCACTCCAGCCGCCTGAATACGATCTGATAAAACTAATAGCACCGCCCAACACGTCCCATCAACTTTTGCATGAAAACACGGGTACCACTCTACACACCTAGGTGGCATGACACCTTTAATGCTGAAACCCTAATTTTTTGCTATAATATCAGGTCTCCACTAGATGATTTTGATCCGGAACATATGAAAAAAGAGAGAACCATATCACTACAGTCATAGCCATCACCACTACCCTTGTTTTCAGGCCATGGGCCACACTTGTAAAACATTTCTAATAACAAAATAGGCACGGAGATTCAACGACATTTCGTAATTTTTATCCCTTTACTGAAATTAACTCATAAATTTAGTTACGATAACCTTACACACACCTCATAACCGTTGGCGACCTATTGTCAACAAAATGAACGCTAGAAGAAGGGCAACCATCAAATGTTATTGAGCCTATAAATAGCCACCGTCCCTTCAAGCTATTTTCACATTGCAACACTTACTCTTTCATATACATAGCTTCCACCTCCTATAGGAAGGGCGGCTCAGCGAACCCTCATTTCTCTTCTGCGATCGGCCGAGTTAATGGGTTGTACCGTCGACTGCCTCGTTATCTTACCCACATATCCACAAGAATCTCGAAATACAATCTGTTCTCCTCTTCTTCTCATAAAAAATCCAGATATAGCACCTTGGGCATAATCTGTTATCATACTACCTATGACAAGAAAATTGATCGATCAGCTCACCATCAAGGTCGAGGGCTGAGAAAGGATTGGACAAAATGTCTAGAACTAAACTTGACTATTGTCCTCTCCTTAGGTCAATAAATCACCTTCCCAACAATGTTCTAAAAGCCGCTAGGCGCCCGCTAGACGCTTGACCAGTGCCTAGTGCCTAGAGCGCCTAGTCGGGCCTAGAAATCAATATTAAATACATTATTTTTTTTTATTTTAACTATTTATAAAGTAAAATTATCTCAATTATAATAAATAGACACGCCTAAGTCCAAATAATAAAATTAATATATTTTAAAGAAAGCATAAGAAAAAATAATGTAATTAGTATTTCAAAAATAAAAAAAATAAAAAATAATAATAAAAAAACTTAAAAATTACCGCCGAGCCCACCTACGAGCGCTTAGGTCTGCCTAGGCACCGCCTAATTGCCTGGCTGCCAAGCCCGCCAAGTCCACCTAGGGCCGACTAGGCCCGCCTATGCGCCACCTTGCCCATTTTTTCTGACGATTTGTGTGAATCGATGGCGCCCGAGCACCGCCGCCTAGGCCGATTTTTAGAACAGTGCTTC